TGGAGACAGAGGAACTTCCCACCAAGGTCTGCTGGAGACAGAGGAACGTCACCTCTCCTCACAGGCTACTGGGCTGGGAAATCTTAGCCGAAAACTGCCAGAGACAGGGGAGCCTCACTCCGGCTGTTGCATCCTGGAGAACCCCACACACGATCTGCTGGAGTCTGGGGATCCTCACCCACAACCTGGTGGTGATAGGGAAAACCTCACCCATAGCCTGCTGGTGACAGACCAATCCTCACTCACCAAGAGTGAGGTAATATCATGGGACTAGCAATCCAGAGGCCTTGGCTAAAAATCTGGGGTCACAGGTTCAAAACCGACCATGATTTCTCACAGAATTTTAATTCAATAAATCTGGAATCAAATGTTAGTCATCGTAGTCATCGTGGTTTTTCAGAAAAAACCATCTGTGGCCGAAGTGTTCTTTAGGGAAGTATCCTTATTTGCAATCCTTAACTGGTCCAGCCTATATGGGACTCTAGACCCAGAGCAATATAGGTGATTCCTAAATATTCTCTAGAATAGTTTGAAAGCTGTTCAGTTTTATTAAACAACTACAGAAACTGGAAAGATCACTTTATAACAACCTAGGCACCAGGAATGACAATGATACATGTAAAAATATATAAATAATTTAGATTTGAATGTAGGAGGTTGATCAGTAAATTTGTAGATAATATGAAAATTTGTGGGCTTGTAAATAGTGAGGAGGGTAGCCTGAGATTACAATAACACATACTTGTGCTAGTCAGATGGTTGACCAGTGGCAAATGGAATTTAATCTAGGTAAGTGTGAGGTGATACAATTGGACAGGACAAACGAGGCAAGGGAATATATGATAAACATGACTAAGGAGCACTGAGATCAGTAGGATCTTGATGTGCATAACCACTGGCCCCTAGAGGGACAGATAAATAAAACAGTTAAGAAAACATATGGGATACTTGCCCTTATTGGATGAGGAATTGAGTTTAACAGGAAGGTTATGTTGGAACAGTATAAAAGGTTGGTTAGGCCACTGCTAGAATATAGTGTGCAGTTTGGGAATCCACATTGTTGGAGGGGTGTGATTGCAGTGGAGAGGGTGCAGAGGAGATTTACCATGATGTTGCCTGGTCTGGAGAATTTGAGTTACGAGGAGAGATTGGCTAGACTGGAGTTGTTCACCCTGGAGCAGAGGAGACTTGGGGGGTGGGGGAGCGGAATGATTGAAATGTATACAATTGAGAGGTCCAGATAGGATAGACAGAAAGGAACTTTTCCTCTTGGTGGAGGGATCAATGACTGGGGCATAGATTTATGGTAAGGGGCAGGAGATTTAAAGGGGATGCAAGCAAACAATTTTTCACCCAGAAGATGATGGGAACCTGGAAGTCAGTCCCCATAAGAATGGCACAAGCAGAAATCCTCATAATATTTAATAAGTATTTAGATATGCACAGGTGCTTATTTTTGACTAGCGCAAACTCAGTGGGCCATTGGTGCTTTTTCCATGCTGTAGATCTCTATAATTTTGTGACACCTAGCCATGTCTACATTTGCAGGACTTACTCATCATAGGTGGTGACACAGTGGTATGCAGCCAGGATTTACCCTGGAAGTTCTCAACATTAACTCTGGACACCAAATCTCATGGCATCTGGGTAAACATGGGTAAAGAAACCTGCTGACGATTAACATCTACACAATAAATTTCTGTTCCTTTTCTTCTAGAATTTAACCTAATCGTCACCCGGTAGCAGCACAAAATTTACCTCAGTTCCAGATGCACAGTTGTCACCAAAAATGACACCCATTTGTAGGACTTCCTCAATTCTGCTTCCAAAAGTCTGGATGGCGTAGATCCACCAATGTTATCTTTAAGTAAGAGAAACAATCACAACTGTATATTTGCTTATACTGAGATTCTGGATCAAGTTTTGTTTTGTTCAGCCTGCCTGCATTGCATTGCTGGAATTAACCTCGGGCCTCTAATTATTCTATCTCTATTTATACGTTTCAATCAGTTTCAGTCTATGTGGAATTTTTGGCTTCAATCTCAGTTTCAATATTAATTTCCTTAAAAATTGGAAGGATCAGTTTTCTTTCTCAGCAGCCTATGCCTGCGTCTATTTTCCATGTTTCCGTGTCTGCACATTGTAGGAGCTGTAGCCGCAGAAAAAAGTATTCACGATAGTTATCAAGTTTCTTGCGAAATTTTGCAGCAATTCTGGTAAACCTGTTTTTAAAAATCGGTCTTTCTTCTTATAGTCCACAGTTTTTAAAAACATAGTTATAAAAAGGCACGGTTCTTAAAACATTCACTGATTCCCCCTTATGACTCAACTAGTAAAATCCTCAAATACTCTGTCAGATTTGTCAAATTTAATTTCCTTTTCATAAATCCATGTTTATTTTGTTCAATCAGATAATTATTTAATAAATACTGAATAATCAGCAATTGATTCTAGTATAATCCTCATTACTAATGTTAGGCTAAAAGATTTGTGGTTCCATTTTCTCTCCCACTCCTTTTTTAAACATAGAACAGTACAGCACAGGAACAGGCCCTTTGGCCCCCGCTGTTGTGCCGAACATGATGCCAAATGAAACTAATCCCTTCTGCCTTAGTCCATATCCCTCCATTCCTTGCATATTCACGTGCTTATCTAAAAGTCCCTTAAATACCCTTATCGTATCTGCCTCCACCACCATCCCTGGCAGTGCGTTCCAGACTCCTACCACTCTCTGTGTAAAAAACTTGCCTCTCACGTCCCCTTTGAACTTTCCACCTCTCACCTTAAATGCATGCCCCCTAGTTTTAGACATTTCAACTCTGTGAAGAAGATTCTGTCCATCAACCCTATTTATGCATCTCATAACTTTGTAGACTTCTATCAAGTCTCCCCTCAATCTCTGCTGCTCAAGAGAAAACAAGCTGAGTTTTTCTAGCTCTTCTTATAGCTCATACCATCAAATCCAGACAGCATCCTAGAAAACCTCTTCTGCACCCTCTCCGAAGCCTCCACAACCTTCCTGTAGTGTGGCGATCAGAATTGAATACAATACTCTAAGTGTGGCCTAACCAAAGTCTTATAAAGCTGCAACTTGACATGGCGACTCTTGGACTCAATACCATGACCAATAAAGCCATGCCATATGCCTTCTTTACAATGCAATAAAACATGCCATATGCCTTCTTTACCACACTATTTACCTGCATAGCCACGTTTGGGCAGCTATGGACTTGAACCCAAGATCCTTCTGTACATCAATGCTGTTCAGAGTCCTGCTATTAACTGTATACTTTTCCTTAACATGTGAAATCCCAAGTGCAGTACTTACCTTACCTCACACATACTTGGATTAAACACCATCTGCCATTTTGCTGCATTGGATTTACATTTGCAACTTTACAATTTACAGGCACCATTGCAGAATTAATAGAATTTGGTAGATGATCAACAATGCATGCATTGTCTCTGCAGCTCTCTTTTTCAACACTCTAGGGTGAAGGTCATTGCCTCTTGAGATTTGTCAATTTTCAGTTCCGTTAATTTTTCTAATACTACTTTTTTTTTTACAAACACTACTTTCTTTCAATTCCACACTCTTTCTTTGTCAATTTCTTATTCCTTTTCTTAATTTTGAAGCTCTCACAGTCTTCAGTCTTACAGTTTTTTTTGGGCAACATAATAATATGAGGAGGATGTTGGCGATGGTGAATTAGAAAAATACATTACTATAGGCAGTAGCCGGTATTTAAAGAATTAATGCTAGGTTTTCAACAGAAACATACTCCTTTGAGATAAAAGTACCCAAGCTCTCTCACTAGATAACAAGGTGTAGAGCTGGATGAACACAGCAGGCCAAGCAGCATCAGAGGAGCAGGAAGGCTCTACACCTTGTTATCTCAGATTCTCCAGCATCTGCAGTTCCTACTGTCTCTCTCAAGCTCTCTCACTGTTCGTATTGGGTACTTTTGTCTCAAAGGAATATGTTTTTGTTGAAAACCCAGCATTAATTCCTTAAATACTGTCTATTGCCTATACTAATGTATTTTTCTAATCCATCATAGCCAACATCATCCTCATACCTTCGTAATTCCCCTTGTTCAGATTTAGGACTTCCATTTTCGGATTGAACTCCATATTTTTCAAACTTAACGGAAAATTCTATCATACAAGGTCACTATTTGTAAAAGTACTTTTACAAC